ATATCAAGCATGATGGTGAGGTCAAATTCTATTTCAGTTTAACTGAAAACCATTGCAAATTACGTGTATACCATTATCAAATGCTATTAGGTAATATAATAATAGCACTGACATCTCTAAATTTTTCTGGAAAATAAAAAGCGGTAATAGAAACCCAACTATCACCTGCGATTACGTAGCAAAAACCAAGCCCTTTAGCAGAAAAGGCGATAAATGTAGCTTATGCCTTTCCGAGAAGCTAATGATTCTAAAACATGTAGATGACCCTAATTTGTGTAACAAAAGAAGTGTGTTAATTATCACATGCGTACATAAAATAAATACCTACTCAAGCACGTTGACACAGTTTAATATTGTTTTCTCATTTTCGGAGGCCACAGATACTAGTATTAATGGTGCTATTATTACTATATTATTAATATTAATATTATTAATATTTTTTATTATATTATTAATGTTATTATGTTATTATTATTATTACTATGACCTTTCATTATTATTATTATTACTAATATTACTATTATTGACATTATTAATATCATTACTTTTATTATTTTACAACGGCATACTTATTTTCTTTTTTATTACAATTTTATCATTACCTAACAATTTTTTAATTGAATTACCCCGGCAAAAAAGTTATAGTGCAATTAAACATTTAAAAAACGTAATAATTTATCCAATTAACATCGCGAAACCATAAAACCCAGAAATATTAAGCAGATTGTGAACAGTTTTTTTACTACATGGTGATTGCATAGTGCATGAAACTCCAGGTCGTACTGTCGTTATATATATATATATATATGATTTGCCTGTTTGCCTCCTCTCTGTCAGTTTGTATATATAACTTTCCCAAATATCAAACCAGAGATCCTTTTTTTTAGTAAAGAATGAAAATCAAGACTTTATAAGATTATACTCAACCACATTTTTTAGTCACTCAAAATACATATCTAAGATCTTTTTAATAGAAAACATATTCGCTTTGTTTTCAATCTTCTATGATAGCAAAAACAATTTTTTCACTTCTGAAACTCAGAAAGTTTTTATTGTACGACACGTTGGCTCAACTTCCCTTGTATTTTGCACTGCTTTCCTTCAGGATGAAATTTTTTCCCGGTTATTTTGCACAATGTTAGCCTTCTGCAATGTACTCTTGATGCAATATTTATACCGCAATTTTACGGCTTGTGCGCTTTTCCTTCGGCCAAAACATCGTACAGAAACCGCTTAAGGATTCTATCGTTATTCGTCCTGATTACATGACCACTCAATGGTAATTGGCGCTGAAGTACCAGGTTCTCAAGACTGTACATTGACTATGTTCGAGGGTACACGAAGCTTTAATAAAAGTGAAACATGTTAGATTGATATACGTTTCCTATTTGTTATTTATCTTATCATACCATCGGATTCCGATCCGTGTTTGATCTGCATTTGATCATACAAACACACACACACACACACACACATATATATATATATATATATATATATATATATATATATATATGCGCTCCTGAAAAAATTATTTTCGGTTGAGCTCTCTGGGGAGAAAGTGTGGGTTTGTAAACAGTGACTATTACGGCTAATAATGCAAGACTCTTCGGTAAATCGAATTGAGTTCTCTCAGTCACTGTGTGTTTATCTAAAAATAAATACACTTAAATTCACATTCATCCCTGCCGTGCGCCAACGGCTTAGTGGTAGAATCCCCCGACTGACGCCAATTCAGTCGGGTTTCGATCCTAGCTAGAAGCAACCGGATGTCAAGACATACTGATGAGCTGTGATACAGCGAAACAGTCTGTGGATGACAATATATATATATATATATATATATATATATATATATATATATATATATATATATATAGAGAGAGAGAGAGGATGGTTTATTTAAAAGCTGCTATATTTATAGGGGAAGAGTGCTCAATATCGGAGATAAAAATAGAAAGTGTGAACGGAGATAGTCACCATACAGTGTTGATTCCTATGTCCACACTATCTATACGAGGAGGCGCTGAATTTTGTTTCCTCGACCAAGAATATCTTCCCTTCAAATTTTTTATGATTGGCAGTTTGTTTAGATTTTGAAAAGTGGTCCAAGACGAGGACTTTTCGGTACTTAAAAAAGAAGTTGCTGAAACAGTTTTGTTAAATATCTACAATTGTCTTTATTTTCAGTATTGGAAGCACGGTAGAGTTATGGATAGAGGCTTGGGTTGAGGAATCGGAGAACCGAGTTCGAATTCCAGTCGCGTCCATTGAATTTACTTACTTGGGAAAGGTATGGATCCATCTCTTTCCTTCCAGTTATAGGTAAACCGAATAACAGACTGGGTCATATAGTCTTGGTTGAGCAGGCAAACTGAATTTTCAAACCACCTGCAGCCTTGTAGGGCTTGTCCCTTTAACTTCTTAGGGGAGGTAACCTTAATACTCCTGGTACAAACGGAACCGGCAAATAATTCAACTATTCTACTTTGAATGCCACCATGAACTACAATTACAACACTAATAGGGGAGAGGTGACTGCACTGGGACTAACTGATTAAATGATGAATAAATGAAAATAATTTTCTTGGATTTATATTTCTGGTTTTGTTTCGAGGAATTCTTCGAAGATTTTTCGATATCTTCAGTTAATTAGAAGCAATAATCAGAAATAGTCATTCACTTGGAACAAATCAAATGACCAACTGAAAATTGGAAAATACGTTTCAAATGAAAGAACTTCTCATTTCAGTTCCATGATGATTTACTGCGTCACATTTAAATAAAACAACAGTTAACTTTATGGATGAAGGATTTGTTTACTCAGATTGGCTTGGATTTGTCACGAGTCAAAGAATAGAGTGTACACAGTGAAAATCGAACTCACTAATCATTATACATGGATAATCAGTTAACCATTGCTCCATAACGATGCGCTATCTTTGTTGCTCAGGCAATTGCTTAAACCCCAAGAAACTTGCTTGACGTGTAAATGGATGGCGGTTGACAAAGAGTAGTCGTAAAGCAACAAGAACCTTTTTATTTGGCCTCATTCCAGCTCATAGTCCACAATCCTGCACGCAGTTGAATGTCATAATCATTTTCTGCTGTATTTTATGGGTCTCTCCAGAACTAAATGCCGGTTTTGAATTCGGAGTTTTTCCTCTAGACTGGCTGATAACTACAGCTAGAGAATACAATCTGTCTACCTACGCTGCTATTTAAAAAAAGAATGAATTCACTCCCAAGTAAGGCGATAATACCACTAAGATGCAAAGGTGCTACTGAGAGTGAAATGGAATTAAATACTTTAGAAGAAACCGGAAACCTAATCTTAATCATATAAATATAAACCTCTACTCTTGCTCAAAAACAGGGGAATAGTGCGAATCGGACGATAAGTGAACCTGTATACTCCTATTAATTGTTATTCTACGGTTCTTATTAAGCAACGCAGATCAGAAATAAAAATAATCCACCTGCAGGACTCGCTTCCATTTTCATCGAGACGCCTGCTTGCGGCAGGTGCTTTATCAATTAGACTCCAGGGATCATCGGCTACAACAGTTCAAAGCTTACCAAATAACTTCATTTTTTTATTGTAAAGATCGGAAATAAAATAAGCTTAGTCATTATGCGGGTATGGGCGTAGTGTAACGCTTAGCAAGTATTACTTACATCAGAATAAAAACAGGGAGTTGAGGAGAGCCATAATTGCTCTGAAAGATCATGGTACACGAAGAAGAAGAAGAAGAAGAAGAAGAAAGGAAAGAAGTCGTCGTTATGAGAACAGTTGTTTTTTTTAAGAGATAATAATCTCTTAAGCGAAATATATTCTCTGCTATTTTGTTATGTTCCCCCCGACCTTAAACCAATTGCTTTTTCTTATCGTTTCCAGCGTTGGTCAGGTAGGTGAACATGCGATTATTTCTTGAGCAATTAAAAAAGCTTTTCCCACTTAGCACAACAAAGGTAATCGTCTGCATGGCTAATACAGTGTCGGCAACGGTATGTGGTCAGGAGTGAAACAAACACACCTGAGAGAGTCCAGAAGCTTGTAACAAAATCGTTTAAAAGAATTAAGTAAGGAAAATTAAAAAAGAAGTGACATTTGGAGGCAAGGAAAGTTTATTTACTTCAGCTTCGAGAACAACCAGGCACAGGACCGGAAAGATAGCGAGGATAGTGAAAAAAAAATGGCTTTCCTACCTTGTACGCAGATTGACAAAGTTTGGACAGTTGAAAGCAAATAAAAAAAAAGAAGAAAACCAGAAAGTCCATGAAATGAGTCCGGAAAGAGATTTACTAATCTTCCTTTTCCTTAACTGTCAGCTAAGGGAGAAGCAGATCTGTGCGAAAATCATGGCTAACTGCTAACGAAGTCTCGCGAACAAATTCCCGCGTGAGCAGTTAAATTTCTCGCGTGGACTGACAAATTACTTCCCTCACAAGCAGATTAGAACTTGCGTTGCCTACAGCGAAACATCACGGCTGACTTTCTAATTCGATAAACTGGAGAGAATTTTAATCAAATTCTTACACCGACAACCAGCGGCTTCGTGTTAAAACTATCCCTGGATACCCAAGTTATAAATTAATCAACTTTCTAATAAAATTTCATAGAAAAAATTAACTGTTTAGACTTGTAAAAAAAGAAAAAAAAAGAAAAAAGAAAGATAGAAAAGAATCAATTAATATAAAAAGTCATTTCCGGCTACTCTTTGCTTTATAGCATACAGTAAGAGTTATGGCTTTATCTTCTCATTAATATTTTATTTTCAATTATAAACCCATTTTATCTTGGGACTTGTGATTTAAAGCATCGAATGAGTATGCAACTCTTTCATATATACATACATACATACATACATATATATATATATATATATATATATATATATATATATATATATATATATATATATATATATATATTCTGAGTTCTTTAAACCTTCAACGAAGAAAGTATCCTAGCCGAATTTTCCATCTGTTTCCATCAGACTGCATCTATCATTCTGTTCATATCTATCTATCTATCTATCTATCTATCTATCTATCTATCTATCTATCTATCTATCTATCTATCTCTATTCTATATCTATCTATCTATCTATCTATCTATCTATCTATGTATCTATCTATCTATCTATCTCATTCTATCCATATCTATCTATCTATCTATCTCATTCTATTCATATCTATCTATCTATCTCTTGTAATGTGTCCAGGCAGTCTTAGATTAAGTCCAGCTGCTGATTTCTATTGTATTTTATCAGACGTCCGCTAAACACGGATCTTGTTGTCTCCCCTCTAGTTCCATGTTCCATTTTCACATTTATTCCGACAGAAATCGAAGCTGCATACTATACGGAACCACCATTACGTCTGTAAAATCCGTAATTCGAGTTTAAACGGAAGTTCTTTGTAGCTGAACGGTCTTAGCACGCCTGGCTTGATCGTGGTTCTATATAAAAAGGAAGGTTCGAGTCCTGTCGAAGAACTCATATGTTCTACGAAATTTCTCCAACATTCAGGACAGTAAATGCAATTAATACAGTTTAATTAAAGAATAGAGCATTTAATCAAATAAATGTATGTATAAAAATAATATAAATGGTGTATAATATATATATATATATATATATATATATATATATATATATATATATATATATACACCATGTCCCATAATTAACTATTTTAATGGAATTGGGGAAATTTAAAAAAAATGTCATACATTTATGTTTTTTTTTTTTTACTTAATTATGATACGAAACAAACAGACTTTTAAATCTTACGTCAAATGTTTATTAAAAAGTTTCCACATGTGCTTCGTCAAATTTCAAATCTATCTTTAGCGTTTCGAAGTACATTTTAAAGCATTTCAGGAGTTTTCCCCTACACTGCTGACTGAATGTGTTCTTTAAGCTTATCTAAACTATTGATCTTTTGGCGATAAACCATTGTTTTTATGAAACACCATATAAAGAAATCCTGATATGTTTATGTGTTTTCATTATTACTCACATTATTACTATTTCTGAAAAGGGAATTAAAATAAAACTCGAAAAAAAAATTATAAAGTTATAAAAGAAATTAGAAATTTATACACTTCTAACATATATTAAACATAATGAACAGAAATAAAAGTGAGTTTTAAAAAAATGTCCGAGTTCACTAAAATAGATTAATTATTCAGGCACACCATGTGTTCAATTTTAAACACTATAAGTAATGCTCAAATTTAAATAATGCTCTACTTTAAACGCCTAAACAAACAAAAACCTTTGGGAAATTGCGGGTAGGAAGATGTGTGGCGAAAGTGACAGCAGGGGAAAGCCCAGGAGAGGAGAGGATTTGCATTGGAGTGACTGGGGAAGAATTTGAGGAGTGTGCAAATAAAAGCAGTACAGTATGATATTTCCAAATTTCCGGCAGTGTGAATTACGTCATGGTGATCAAATTCTGTCCGCAACATACGCGTTGATAATACAAATATAATAGCCTCGTCCACATTTTTAAGTCTATAAGTAATGGAATCATTATTAATAAAAACGAAAAAGCCAACACTCAGTAATATCAACTATGAACACGGCCACAATGTGCTGACCGTGTTTGGAAAATAAAACATTCCTATAACTCTAGACGCATAAAAAACCCATTCATTTAGTTAAAAGTAAAAATAAAATTCATCATTGATAATGGCTAAAAGTATAGACGAAAGCGCTCGGATATACAAAATATTTGGACAATTTTTACATACTTTACACCGAGAAAAGAGGAAAATTATAAAAACATATGAAAAATTAAGTAGAAACTTAAACACAATACCTTGTCAGTCGTTTTTAATTTAAACTTGTATAAAAGAGGGTTTGCTGGCCAAATAAGCAATTCTATATATATGAGGAAATAATCAGACCAGAGACAAAACACCATTAAAAAGATCTATAGAAATAGCCGGAAGCGCTTTGTACAATAAAATTATGGATAATTTTTATATTCTTTAACTCCTATAAAACGTAAAAAATGTTAGGATGCTGGAAAAAACAATAAAAATTAATTAAATCTTCCTTGTCGACCATATTCAATGAAAGATGTTTGAAAGAAAGGTTGCTGCCAAAAGATACATTAATATATATATATATATGTATGTGTGTGTGTTCATTAAACTCTTTCTGCTTTTCAAATGACAACGCTTCTAAACTAAGTATTGTGCATCTACCGAAACACTGGCAATTGGCTAAAAGCATGTCAGGTAACTTCTGACTATTTACTCTGCTTCATTGACTCCTTGACTCCATTAGAAACATTCTGGTAACGTTGACATCTTCATTCATGTATCAACAGCGACGCTCGCAGCTCTTATAGTCTTGGCTTATGGTTATTTTCAGCCTTTCGTCGACCTGCGCAACCAACTGAAACGTATTTTTAAACTTTTCGACAGAACGGTCTTTGCAATATAACAAATTACTGAGGTCTGTCTAAGTATATTCGTAGACAAAAGGTCGGTGGCGTCAATCATATTAAAGAAGAAAAGAGAGTCGGGTTAGGAATTTTGGGTCTTCAAACTCGTAAAAGCATTATTTTTCTTCAGTATACTGGAAATTTATTTGTATTTTGAAACTTGCCTTTTACTTTTAAATGTTTCTATCACTGAGAGAAAACATGTGACCTGAAGTACTCTTGTATACAATGAAGCGTTAACAGGACTAATTGACCCGGCATTTGGGATGAAACTTTGAATTTGTTTAGAAAGAAATGATTATCTGGTAAGTTTTAGAAAACAATGGGGAGTTCGATTTCTACTGGCTTCCCGAAAATTGTGATTTTGTGAGAGTTTATGTAAATCTTAATAAATCTCTTATGGTACCCCGGCACTTCCTCCGGGAAAGCTTCAAAATAATATTAAGCTCAACCCCCAGGGAGCCATCCCACAGGCATTACCATTTCTTCAGGAGCGATTGGAGTTATTAACGGGCGCCTGAGGCGTCCCCAAAAGGGGAAGTGCCGACGGGGCTTGATCAGTTTTTCTACGGTATTTCCGTTAATCTCACTTTAAACATCGACCTTCTGTCACATTCGATAGCGACATGGACGCACTGAAAAATCCATTTAATAAATATCTTCTTTTTTAAGAAGGAAAAAAAAACAAGAAAATATAACTAGGAAGGTGAGGTGAAAGAGAGAGGGGGAAATCTTGTGAATGGAGGGCAGTGAGAGAGATACAGTGAATTACATGCATTCATACAGAATGAGAGAGGGGGGAAGGAGAGTGAGTGAGACAGTGTAAAGAAAAAGTGGGTGGAAGACAAATAGAAAGGAAGAGAAGTGTGGGTAGAAAGAGAAAGCGAAGAATGTGAAATGGAGACAGCAAAAGTGTGAAAGAGATATGATAGCAATAGAGAGAGTGAAAGATAGCTAGAGAATAAGAAAGAGAGAAGGAGACAAAAAGCGTGAAGGAAAGATAGAAACAGAGAGAGTGCAGAGTGAAGGAGGGAGAAAGAGGGAAAAGAAGGATAAACTGTCAAACACACAGACACACAGAAAGAGAAACACAGAGAGAGAGACAGAAAAGAGAGAGAAGAGATAGAAAAGAGAGAGAAAGAAAGAAAGAAAGAAAGAGAGTCGAAAGACAAATAAAGAAAAAGAAAGAAAGCAAAAGAAAAAAGAAAGAAAAAGAAAGAGAGAAAGAAAGAAATACGGAGAAATATCTAGTTTAGGGAGGGAGAAATAGAGATAGAGAAGTACGCAGAAATAGAAAAGGAGGGGGAAGGAGAGTTAATGAAGAAAGAAATTGACGATCGTAAATTCTTCCTGTAAAAATGATTTGAAAAGAAAATCAGCTTGAAGTAATTATTGATCATCGAATTGAAAATTAGAAGATTTTTTTCTCTCAAATATCACTTCGTATTCTCAAATTAATTAATGGACTTGGGCATACCTTGCCATTCCTAAATAAAAGCGAAAAATTATTTTAATGATTATACTTGTTGCAATAATAATTACCGAAATTTAATACATCGAAAAAAATGGCTAAGACCGCTTGTAACATTTAACTTACATCATACGATACGCAGGGAACATTAGCTGGATTTTTCCCAATAACGAACTGTTATTCACATCGGAAGAAACATTTAAATTGAACACGTTATCTTATGTTTTTGGTTTAAATTTCTCACCATTTGATATCAGATTCTTACTCCTTCCCTAAGTGTTATAGAAGTGATTAAAATTTGACGGCTGTTTATGAATTATTCTTATTAAGAAGCAGATTATTTTCGTATTTTTATTCAGCTTAAATATTCTGTTAAACCCAAGCAGTAGTCCGAAGAGGGAAATTTCACCAATCAACGGCAAACCATTGGTTGGCTAAGAATTAAAAAGTGCCAGAAATTAACGGAGGCTTTTTCACCAAATGCTAATTATCAGAAGAGTGGTAGGGAATACAGATAACTTTAGTGAAAGTAGGTGAAGGAATGCATCACGACACGCAATATACAAATAAGAATCTTCGATGTTATTGGTCTTGAACTGGCACCTCGGCTTCAGTGACTTTCCCACCACCGTAAGGTAGCTTCTTTCTGACTTTTCTATACATACTTTCATGGTTATTGTTCTGATGAAGACTTTATGAATTTAAGCGCAGTACTAGATAGACAGCAAGGTTACCTCATTTTAAAGTTAAAATTGCTAACAGTTTCTTTTACCTCACTTCCAGCTTGTGGAACACTCTTCTGGATTCTTGCTTTCCAGTTAAGTTTCAGGCTTAAACATTTAGGTGCAATGTCAATCGCTATCTTATATCTTCTTAATTCCTGTTCTTTTACTGTTCTCTTTCCATAATGTTTTCTCATATTCTCTCACGTCCAGTAACCTTTCAGTCTCTTAGTGACTTTATATCTTTACTTGGGATGAAATAATAACAAAAACAGAAGTATATCGATCCTTTTTTGCCTATGGACTTGCATTATTGCAAGCCAGTCAGAATCCTCGTTTTAACCAATATCAACCGAGAAAGAGTCTTCCATAGATATCTGAATGCTGGTTATGAATCGTGTATCAATAAAAAAAATGATCACCAAATCCGATGTCTGCTTTTCTCTTGAATAAGGTGACAAACGGAGTAAGTGTGCATGGATATCCCGAGCAAGCAATGTCAAAAGGATGCACTATGGGAAAGCAAAAGGCTTGTAAAGACAGCGATAGATTTGGGTAACGT